TTTGTTTTGATCAAAAGGGAATTCTGACCTCCAATCACACAGCATACCAATAATTCTGCTGAATATTGATCCGTTGGTAAGGATGGGGCAGCGTTGTAGTTTTCCAGTACTGACCTTTACTAAGTCTACTACAGGCTTGTTCTCATCAGGATCTTCCTTTCTTGTTCCCAGAGAACTAGAGAGAAGGTCTAATGCATCATCGGGTATCTGTGCATCCTAGGAACACAGGAAATGTAAACTGTTAAACATAACTCAGTTTCTACTACATGTCCCCTCAATGTCCCCGCTAACAGACATCTTCTTCTCAAGTTTTTACTTTAATCTCTCTTACTGTGTCTTAAAAGGAGAACTATGGGGTCAGTGTTTTTCCCCATAGTTCTCCTTAGGGTAACGGGAGGACACAAACTAGCGTCCTCCCGTTACCCTAAGCTCAGTATACCGCGAGCTACAGCTCGCGGTATACTGAGACGCCGCATCCCGACTTAGACGACAGGAGCGGATCCCGACTTAGACGACGGGTTCCGCCCAGCTGCGTGAGTGACAGCTGGCTCTGCCTATCTAGAGGCAGAGCCAGCTGTACCCGCCCCCTCCCCCGTCCGTTCTGCCAGTCAGCGCTGGCGGATCGGAGCGAGGAGGGGGGAATCCAGCCCCTCCCCTGTCACGGCAGAGAGCCGTGACAGGATCGAGAGGTGAGCGAACCCGGTATGTGTTCGCTCACCTCCCGGTCTACTGAGCCGACCTGTGACAGTCTCATTGTCACAGGTCGGCTAGAACTATGAGGTGAGTGGAAATCACTCATCTCATAGTTCTCCTTTAACATTCTGATGTATAGACCTTGATAAACAGTACACTTTTTATATGGTATGACATCCTTATTCAATAGTGTATTGCAAAAAACAATAGAAAAAACACATCACCTAAATTTCACAGCTCTAAAGTCAGACGAATGAAAATAATTTTTGAGTAATAGCAATAGGTGGCTGGAATCTATAAGAATCTATAAGTAGACATTGCAGTGCTTTGTGGTGATTTAGTGTAAGGCTGTTTGTTTCCTTTTAGCTCAACTCACCACAGCTGTTCTACTATCTTGAAGGACCACGAGCCCTACTCAATAGAGGACATGGCTTTCACAGACTGCACTGATGATGCTCAGCCAGCCTGAAACAATTGTATGCATTTTGCAATACATGGCTCTATAATATTCGGCTGCATCTGTGCTATAGACCAGTTGCTCTGGATGCACACATTAAAGCACCATATAACGGGTGCCATATTGTTTGACATCTCAATAGGTAGGCATTGGAAGACTCATTATGATGCATGCACAATATCTTACATGACATTAACCCTTCTCTTGCCAGTCATTGAAGCAGAATATTTATTAATCTTGGTCTACACAAGACTGTACTTTTAGGTGAGGTATGTGGTCTACCTATAGAGCGCTATACCACTCTATCTAATGGTGTTCCAGCATACAATAAAAGATAACTAATAAGAACTCACAGAGACTGATGGCTTTTTAGCGGTGGATTCTGCAGATGATGGCTTTGGAGCACTGGATTGTACAGATGAAACTTTTGAAGAGAATACAATCTCTTCAGACCCAGATTTTTTAGATGGCGTCTAAAAAGAAATAACATTCATTATTTATAAAAGCAGCCCCGTAGTTTAAACACATCTTACTTGTAAATCACTTTGCCATAATGGGACTCTGAATATTTATTTATTACAGGTATTTATATAGCGCCAACAATTTTGCGCAGCGCTTTTACATAGTGTACATTCACATGAGCCCCTGCCCTCAAGGAGCTTACAATCTAAGCGCTCTGTAAAATATAAAATCAAACTCCAATAAACAATGATTAAGAATATTCCTACTCATCATATGTGTTTTATGTAAAAGTTTTTGTACTCTTCGATGAAATGAAACCGGTCATGGGAGAAATACATAGGATCTCACTAAAGATCTCCATTTTGAGATTCTGTTTAAGCCCAGGCTTGAATATTTTGAGTTACTGACCCGGAACAAGTAGAGAGAAGAAAAATGTGCAACTTTCTTTTGCTGCATGCTTGCTATGGGTTAGTGACTGAAGCATTATTGAAGGAAGACATACGCAGGCAACCAGCAGACAAAAATTGCAGCTTCCGTATTCTTCTAATGACATTAATGTAGTTGGCCAATTAGGCCATGGAGATCCTGACTGATGAGTTCTGCAAATTAAACTGTGGGGCAGAAGGAGGAACTAAGAACTTCTGTACTCCAAGGACCCCCTTGGTTATTATACCCTACCTTCCGCAAAACGTTTTAGACCACACCCCATTTTAGCCAGACTGTTACATTTTTTATACTCTTTTTGTTGATCTCTAAAGATATTACTGTGTTAAGGTCTAGTATGCTTTATCTTCCACACAGCCAGCCATTCTTATTTCTTAATTTTTCTAAAAAGGTATTGCTCTGGGCAGTTACCTCTGTTGTCTTCCTTTAGTTATAGCCCTGTGACACAAAGTTAGCTGTGTGCAGAAATATCACCTCTCTAATCAAAGTAAACACTAAAATGTTTTTAAATCTCATAAGCTGCTACAACATTTACATATATTCCTGTAAATGTTATTTTATGGGCCTCTGACTCCTGGGTTTGCTAGCACTTTACTGTGTTTTGTATAGTCAGGTTGTGAACTTATATGTATATATTTGTACAGATCTGTACCAAGGTTTGCATTTGTACAGGCAAAAGGTGTATCACTACAATGCAGAGAGAGAGTAAGAGATACAGGGTTCCTTGTAGATAGGAGAGCAGGGAACATACCTTTGATGATGTTATTGGAGGACATTTGGAAGCAACAGGAGGGGTGATAAACCCTTCAGTCAAAGCATCCAGCAGATCGTCCTCGCTCATTGCCTGCATGTTCACAGAAATAAAACAAATGAATGGAGTGTCAACTCTGGAATCCTTCTGCAAACTGTTAAGAGAAACCTGATGCTTGTTATGTGATCGGAGCTGAAACATGAGTGTACAGCACAAAATACACGTGAAACACAATCCGCTGACCCATATCAGACAAAAAGCTTCTACCTAGCAACACACTGCAAACAAACGCCTACCCAGAGAAGACCATATGATTCACCCTCACACTATAAAGAGAAGAGCTGCACACAATTATCCATTTGTGTGGATAAAACATTTCACTATATGCATACGTACAGTAAATATATATCACTCAAAGTAGGCATGCACAAGATTAACCAACCTGAGGCTTTTCTTCAGGTTTTGGCAATAGAGGCTTCCCATCTTTATCCTGAAAAGAAGCCAGTGTAGAATAATGACAATTTAGACATGCATTCATATCTGACACTTTAGTAGTACACATATAAATAATAGGTCTGATTTATTATTCTTATCCTTCCTGGAGTATTGCAGCAAGATCCTACAGACGTACTACAGCTACAGTTAGATTCTGTATATGTATAATCTGTCTACCTTAACTTCCTTTAGCCTGTAGTCTGGAGGTATTGTCTTTTCATCTTCCCCTAGTTTTTCTTTGTTTCCTTTGCCTGTTTGCTCCTAAGAGAAATAAAAAAAACCTCTTTTCAGTAAGAAGAAGAGCATCACAGGTATGAGATTTGGTACACAATCATTTTTCCGTGTGATTCTGATCTTTTCAGTAACCAGTTTAAGTTTTTTTTTTTTTATCTACTAAGGGGATGATTTATAAATCATCTGCCCACCCATATGCTGGGTGAATGCCATTCACATGACATTCTTGCCACTAGATGAAGTTGAGAAGCATTTCCTAGGTTCCTTGCATCTATCTAGTGGTGACAATGCCGAACAGCATTCACCCTGCATATGGCTGGGCAAATAATTTATAAATCATCCCCTACATGTTGCTTCTTGTAGTGACTGTGTGTGTTGGAATCCCGTTACCTTAATCTGTTTGGTAGCGGATATCATTCACAAAGGATTGTCCAATTTTTTTAAAATTAAAAGTGGAAGGTCCTTTAAATAGCAACACAGCAGTACAGTGTTCACTCAATATTATCATTAGCCAGAATTGTAGGATTATAAAAGGGAAGCAAAGCTGCCACGTGCCTACATACACACTTACAGAGTGACAGCAGAAAAACAGAAGATTTTACAGAATTGCACTGAATATGACTGGAAACCTTTTATATTATACAATCCAAATTACCTTTACTTTATCTGCAGCAGGTTTTTTGTCTTTTGGATCTTCTTTCCTGGTTCCTAATGTGCCAGCCAAGGCATCTAGTGGGTCAGCTTTGCAAGTAGGTGCTTTCTACAGGAAAACGATAGCCAATAGATTCAAGTAAGAAAACATATAGATATCACTGTTGCTTGTATGGCAGAAAGAGTTTACTTGTAAAATGTGCAGTAATGTGCAATAATAAAGCAGTTGTGGTTCACCAACTGAAAACCGCAGATTGTCATCAATGTCTTTTGCACTTTTGGGCATCTTGCACCAGGAGCATTTATTCTGCATGTTGTTAACAACCAATTATTCAAACCATTTAGGGCTAATTCACGCCAGATGTGTTGAGGCTGCACGGGCAAGGCAATTAGTCATATTTTCAATGGTCTCAGGTCATGCAGTATTTTTTTCCAGCACATCGTGGCACCATGTTGTGGCTGCAGTACTGTAGAACTGAATAAAATGTCATGCGTGACATTTCAATAATGTTCTAAAAAGTTACATGTCCATCATGTTGCCTTACATGATATTTTTAATTCTATTCAGCCAATATTGTGATTTTCACACATTTTCCACACTGCACACCCAGCAGGTGACACACTTATTCACGGATTCAACAATTCAATTTCCTATGTCACCTCTCTGTCCCCAGCTTGTACTTTGGACAGTGCATCCATAGTACCAACTCTGACCAATAGGGAGAAAGCTGACCCCGCTGTAATGCTAAACCATGAAATAGTAGGAGAGATTATACAGACTACAAGATGTTTATCACAAGAACAGCTGGCCAGCATTACAACTCCCAAACATACAGTATATCTATTTTAACAGTGTATTTAGCCGTTTGGCTATCATTATAATGACTCACATTTATGTGTGTGCCAAATTTTCAGCCGTTTATTTTTATTTTTTGTTTAATGCCAGAATAATAGAATTATACAAACGTTCAATGGCTAATACATTGTATGGTATAATATATAAATCAGGACTGATGAGGCTTCATTGCTCTGAACATTTGCGATGATGATTATTATTATACAGGATATATACATGATCATAAACATGATATATAGTGTTGGTTATTTAGCAGACCTTTGCGTATTTATCTGTATGTTTGCAGCATATATACAGTAAGGTGATGAGGTCACAATATGTATTTTGCTCTATTCTCCACCATTACTATTAAATGAGATAGTCTTCCCTCTTCCAATTGGCAGCCAACTTTTGCTAAACTGCATTTGCTCTCAGGCTTGTAACTGCACAGTTGCTACATCCAGGTTAGTACAGACACAGATCTCCTAAATGTTATGTACACAAAGGATGAAATGTCACCATGGATTTTATATATGCATAAATTGTGCTACTTACAGAACGTGTAGCCTGGACAGATGAGGAGGAAGAGGCGCTAACCACAGCTTCAGGCTCTGCCTTTTTCACTTCGGCATCCTCAAAAACAAGCACATAAAACTATTTTTTTACAAAATCAACAAATATGAGCAAGTAAATGAAATATCATCTTAAATGATAACACTTTTACCCTTAATGATAAAATACTTAATTACTCACTTTTGGTTTGGCTGCTGGTGTTTGCTGTGCAGCTGGGGACAGGGAGCATGTAAAGTCTTTACCAAATTCATCTGCCAGTTCACTTTCTGTCAAAGGCTAGAGAGACATAAAAGGTTTATTACAGAGTTACGCAGTGTTCTAATGATACAGAAAATGTCAACTCAATGCCACTAACAATAATTTTTAAACAATACACCTGATTTGACTGATTTTGTTTTTCAAAATCTCTCTTTGCAATTGTAACATAAAATGTATCTCAATCTTCTGTGTTGTTTGGAGACCCCTCTACCACCTTCTGACTAACATGCAGCTGTGAACGCAAACAAGTCACTTGGACAATATCTGGGGCCTGATTTAGGTAACTATGTTAATGTCCTAACAAGCTTTGCTTTCATTTCCAGAATATAGATGAGTTGACAGGTGCTGGAGCTACCGATTCAAAATGAAGTAATTATAAAATAACAGGGGAGCTCCCTGGTAAAAATACTTTGACATTTTCTGTACGCTGCTAGAACGTGCATCAGGGTCAATAATAGTTCAGAATGTCCCATTTCATCCCAGACCGGAATCCCCATATACGTATTGTAGTGGACACTGAAATGGCCTGTGAATGATGCCGCGTAGCTCAAGATAAATGAAGATGAGCCACTAGCACACCAAGGGTCCACTTTATCATCCTGTCTTTATTTGACATTGAACATACATGGTGTCCCATGCCACAATTCAAAACAATTCATCAGTTCCTTCATCAGGCAAAACAGGCTGACCAAAGGGTTGATAATAGAGTACATTCCTAAGCCCCAATCAGTCATTGTGCCCCAAGCGTGACTGCAACCCCTGTACCTTCTCTATTACTAATGTAAATAAGCAATAGTGGATATAAATAACCTCTGTTCTAAAGTGGAAATGGATAAGACAGAAATATCTGACATAAGAGAAGCAAAAAGGAGCGCCTCCATAGAGTCAGACGAAAGGGGTTCGGCCCCAGAAAAGCATCAACCGGAGGAAGATGTGCAGATACAGTGATTTAGCACCTCACCAGCACTTTTAAAGCCTAATTTGTTCATCCATCCTCAACCATCCTGAGATCTTACCACTACAAGCCTGTCAGCATTGGTTGTTTGTGAGTACATTTCAGCTGTTTGTATTATTGAATAAAAATCTATTTTCACACTATGGCGTTCCTTTTGCTTCTCTTCTGCTAGATATCCAGGTTCCCTGACTGTGAGGAGCTGCCCCCATGTCTCTGTAGTTTTCCCCCTTCCCTCAAGAACGGTCACATATGGCGCCAGTGGTTGTAATCTTTTAGAAATATCAGACATACCTTTTCTTCAGGAATGGATGGTGCTGGCTTTCCTCCTTCTTTCCCCTGTAAAATAACATTGTTTAGTACAGTGGACAACTAGAAAATGCACCGAATACTGTACAAGTGTGTTCCACTTACATCCAACAGGTGCCTATACGCTGGCGGGATGGAGCTTTCCCTTTTTCCAAGTTCTTCTATGTGTATTGCTGTAGCCGTTTCCTGTAGAAAAAAGATGGGAGTGGTCTATTAGGGCTTTATGATCATTGTTTGAGTTATCTGATCACCAAATCATTTCAATGTTTGTGTGTGCAGTTATAAAAGTACTAAAAGATCCCAGCTGCTATAGGTGACACAAGCACAAATCTGTAGAATGTGTGCCATATTACTTGGTGTTGCTGGCCACCTTTATGATCACTGGCTAGAACACAGGGCTAGCTCACTGTTGCAGAACTATGAACCAAGACGTGTAGTTAAAAAGTTAGCGTCCTGGTACAAAATCAAATACATCCCACATAAAACACCTCCCATGCAACCCTGTGATGGTAATATTTATTAAAATGGAGTGTTATTCCACTAACTTATTTTAGATAATGTGATCATATATAGGTAGAAGCAGGAGTGGTTTGTACTTTTGACTTCAAGGACTAAAAGGTCTTACACCTGCTGCACCTTTAATAGTAATGGTCTAGTAATTATGGATGCAGGCTGAATAAAGGAATAAAGAAACAAATTACCGTCACTTCTGGACCCGTGTAGACAGGAGACTCCGGTGCAGAGAACTCAGGGCCTTCTAGGGTACCCATAAGTTCATCTAAAGCATCGTCCATACCAGCCTAAGGATATAACAACGAGAAATTATAGGTACCCGATATTGCAGCCACAGCTGCCAGAATGATTTATTACATGGTCTTATTTTGTTCATTGTTATAGTTCTAACAGGTTCTTCTGATAAATCAAGATATTCAGTTCTATGTTTATTTAAAGCGGAACTTCAAGCAAACAGCTAAATACATATTTGAAATATACATTTCATAATAATTTCATTTTGAAGCAATAACTTTAAAAAACTAAAAAAAAAAACATTCAGATTAGCGGTTTCATTTCAAGGATTTGTGTTTCTGCCCAGCCAGACATATGCAAGGATATAGAAACCTGCCAGAGAGCACATCAAGGTTGGTGACCTGACTATTATCTACTGCAGTTATGCACCACTGGGTCATCTCCAAGCAGCTTTGAGTGTTTCCTGAAGTTCCTGATGTGCTGCTGTAAATCAGCAAAGCTCTGGCACTTTTTTGTTGTAAAGGAACCCTCTACCCCATGCATTCCTATTGGTCTGTGAGGCCACCAATCACATTGATGGACCAACCGAAATCTGGGGAAGCAGCACGGAATAGGCATGTTCTGACACCCTCTCTGAAAGACTTGAAGCATTTCCTGTGCAGAACAGCCTGGCGTACAGGTGTGCAGGAAGCAATAAAAGCTGCTGCAGGTATGTAAAAGGCACCTACAAGTGTCTGCACTTTATATCTGATAGCAGCTTTATTACAGTCACTTAAAGTCTAATGTCAGACCATTGATTGCTGGGGTCTAAGGGTCACTATAATTTAAAATTACATGCTTTTTTACATAACCAACAGCCTTCACAATTTGTAAACATATTGCACTCTGGTGTTAGAGCCTAGTTGTTAAACCATTCAAGCCAGTGATGTCTCTGTGTTTCCACTTTTAATTTTTAAATGAAAAACAGTGCAAGTTTGTATCATGTGAAGAAAGGGAGGGGGTGTGATGGCAGTACCAGTCAGTCAGTCTTGCAGGAAACAATAGTAATAGGTTAAAAGTCAGTCCCAAAGGAGCAACTCTACCGCAAGCAGGCCTGGCCAGAAAAAATTGGCCAAGGTAATGGAGGCTGACTGACACCACAGCAGTGATGTGCAGTGGAGTCCGTTCTCGGTGAGGCATCGCCCCCAACCCAGTCACCGAGCTGTGTGGAAGAGGGAGGATGGAGACAGAGAGGAGCCTCCCTGTCCCTCACTTGCTCGTCACTGGTGAGGCATTGAGATCGATGTCCTCACTATTTGTTTTTGTTTTTTTTGATTGGACAGCTAGGACCAATGGCGCTTTGCCATTGGTCCAAGCCATTCACAGAGCTCACGCCTCTAACAGCAAGTAAAGGCTGTTGCAGCTCTTGCCTCACTAAGTTAGGTTACACAAAGCAGTGGGGAAGTCCGCTGCTGTGTAACAGCTGTCAAAAGCCGGATGCAGTGCTGCCTGTAATTAACAAGCAGCACTCGCGTCCATGACAGGTTACACGGCGGGGAGGCTTTTAAACACTTTGAATTGTGCCTGCCCATTAGTTGCACATAGACAAGCTTGTTCTCAAGATTCTTTTGTAGATAGGTAGGGTACATACAGAGGGTGCAGTTGCAGCCTGTACAGAGGATGCTGAAGACGGAACAACCACATCTGCTTTCACTTGTTTGTCTTGTGTAGTGTCCTTAATAAACAGAAAAAAGAAGCAATGAGATTAGAGATACAGGAGGCAAACAGGTATAAAATGGTGCAAAGTACAATATGCCTTAACACCTTATGCGCAGTTAGCACCTTTATGCAGTTAACACCTTATACGATATTTTGCACTGTTTCTCTGAATAACTTTATTGGCATACAAAAAAATATACATCTGCATAGCTTACTTTGGGTGTAACAGCAAAAGGAGCAGCAGAGGGCTGAGCAGCTGGAGAAAGGCAGCTTTCAAAATCCTTTGAGAATTCATCTAATAAATCACTGTCACTCATTGCTGGCTGCAAGATATAACATACCAACAGAGTACATTAATACAACGTTTCATTATTGTAGAGTTATATACTGTATCTTTGTACCCCAGTCCAATGTCTGCTGCAGCAGGTATATACTGTACACAAATGCTATGCTATGCATTGGTATATATTAACATTTTTGAGCGAGACATTTGGACTTTTAAACACTTAATCTGCATTAGAGTGTGAATGTATAGAGAGTCATTATATAAATGGAAGTAGATCAGAGAAAATCTTATTGCTTATAGATAACATTCTACCATTAAAACAAATGGGTAAAAAAAAGCAGGTACATGCAAACTAGGCACCACACTTTGCTGATCAGTTTGACTTACTTGGAAATCTATTGCTGCAGGGAACTATGGGAGTCCCCAAAACCAGGATGAGCCTGCAGAGGATTACTGATAGGATATCCCAAAATCAGGGCTCGCTTTCTGCATAGGCAACATAAGCCTAGGGCGTGCTGGCTGTATACTGTATATTTAACCATACATGTTACTGACTGTCAGTACAGTAAGTACAATACAGTGTAGTGCAGTCGGGTGAGGTCCTCTTGTTGCTGTCCTTACACAGTTTGTGCATTTTGGTTAGTGGAATAGTGTATGGTGTACTTACAGTTTATTTCCTTATGGCTGTACACCTAGTACCAAACTTCTGGCAGAGTAGGGTGACCTTTTACCCTTACACTTTAAAGTGTATGTAAACAATTCACTTCTTTTCTTTGTTCCTTTTTGGTCTGTTTAAATACCATTGAAAGTGATTTGTTTTATTTGTTCAATAAGTACAAGTAAAGTTGATCCAGTGAGAAATCCAGTGCTGGAATGTCCCGTGTGAATTCTGTAGTGTTATGTGAAGCAATGTTATCAGCTTCAGTTCTCCTCTGTGAACTACAGAATGCACTCCGCCCATGCTTTGAAGGAGAGGGAGGGTGTTTTCTAGTTATAAAACACTTCCTAGGGTGACAACACTACTCCTAGATACAATCCAGTGAGTGAGTGTTGTCACCCTAGGACAGGAAGTGTGTTTGACCATTAGTGTGAAAATCAATTAATAAAAAGCCTTAAAAAAAAAAAAACCTAACCAACGTAGCCAGCACATCTAAGGACTGGTAAGCTGCAATGTAAAACAATTTTGTAATTGAGATTCAATACAATGTAATTCATGCATTCTAGGTGCACTGGCAGAGTGAACAAACTTTCTTATTCAGCATAGTTGTACTCCAGTACAACCGGAAAGGTTTGAGAGTGACGCCATACTTATGAATGTGTTTACCAAGAACCTGCAGAGTACTTTACCTTGCCAAATCCCATCCATCACTGATGCCTCCATTTCGGGTAGTTATTCCTGAATGCAGTACTCAAAGTAAGGCAATAACGTCCTGAAGTACTTTGCCAATGTAGTACTTACTGCTGAAAAGCATCTGGCGATGTAAGAAGTAAACATCAAGTGGCTTGTCTCGTCTTTGATGGATCTGTGGTATCCATTACCATATAATGGGTACCACAAATAAACCATTCATTTCACTAGTAATAGAGACAAACTGGAGGGAATGTAATAAAAACAAAAGCATCACCGACATGCCAAATGACAGTGAGCAGAATGTATGGTTCTGTGCTTCCAGCCTTGGTGGTCTCATGCAGCTAGGATATCTGATTCTCTATGATACTCAGGGCTGCTCGTTCAGCCCCATGGCAGCAGCTGAATCCCCTCCACCAGGCTACTGTATTGTGACAGGGGCAGGTGTTCGCTGTCAGAATACTCAAACAGTGGCTACAGGTGATTAGCTGCAGTCACTGGTCGGCCAAAAGTTTTCTGCCTTGCTCCTTTGATTTTTAGATTGAAGAATGCCATTAGGGGGTTGTCAACAAGGACTCCCACAGAGCGAACGTTCTCTAAGGTAAGACGGGGAGGACAAACCAGTTGATTAGGGTGCCTATAAAACAATGTGGACTGCCCCTGATGAGGCCCCAGACAACAATGAGTAGGATATGATGGGAATGTTCCTCAGTGCTAACTGGATATTTGAATACTGGAGACAGCCAGGTTTGCAGGCTCTTGGAATACCATTCATCAATGGATTGTAAGTCAGACAGACCAGCACCTTGCTGTTCCTAGTATGCATGCATCTGCTTATTTCTACTTATCACAAACATAACACACACCCAGCATCCAAAGACATAATATAAAAAAAATGTTTTATTATTGTATACTGTACCTCAAGGTTCTCTGCTGGAGGTGGTATGGGTTTACCTTGGTCTTTCCCCTAGGAAATGCAGTGTACATTATTATAAGGTATTATGTGCACAAATACACAAAACCAGCGGCCTCAATCTTTTCATGATATTCCATGGATGGCCTAATCTAATGTGTTGTTCTGCAAGCAGTACATGTTTGTTAAGAAAATACAATAAAAATTATATTTTAAACAATTAGTTAAAAGTATCCGTTGGAATAATTACACAATGTTTATATTTTCAAATCACTTTTTAAGTCATGGACCATGAATCAGCAGAAGTTAGTGACTACCTACTGGGCTGTATAGGTGCAGCAGAATACGTTTATACATACAGTAATTGTAATATTTGATCATAGCCTAAAACATTTCAAATGCAGCAAAATACTCACATCTAGCAAGTGTCTGTATTCTGGAGGGATTGTGTGTTCCCTCTTACCAAGCTCCTCTAGATATGTTGACGTGATATTTTCCTGGAAATAAAAAAAGTTCAGAGTTAGTTAGTATAAGGTAACTCTTAAATCAAAGTTCGTTAATAAAGGTCACACATTTACAGCAGAGACAGATGTTTCGTTGGCTGAACCAAACCCCTGAACCAGTTCTAATCCATTCACTAACCCCCCCTCTACTCCATTTCCTGCAGCACCAGCACCCTAATAAAAAACCAACTGTATACCTACCATTTCTAGTAGAATTTTGATACTAACTCAAACACTTGATGTTGTTGATATTGAATAGCATATACATTATTACTATAATGTAATAGTTAAAAGTTATTTAGTCTCAGAAGTTGAGCAGCTTTATACAGACATATACAGATGAACTTTATACAGACCTATAGACAGGGGCGTCCTGAGGCAGGGTGTCGCCTGCAGCGGTTACCAGGTGACACCCCGCCGTGACGTCATCGCACATGCAAGGCGATCTTTTTGATACCTGGCAGCGGCCATCTTGGTGATGAACGCCGGCCAGAGAGAGGAGGGGACAGACACCTGGCGGGATAAGGTATGCTGCTGGGTCCCCTCCTCTTTCCCGAAACTGTCGGGCGCACGGTCCATGACCCAGTGCCCGACTCTTCAGAGGGGGGTGACACCAAAATGACCGTCAGTCATTTTGGTGTCACCCTGGTGCGGGCCGCACTCCACGCACCCCCCTTGTGATGCCACTGCCTACAGATAAACTTTAGATGAACCCAAAGAGTATACAAGACACACTTGGCATGTGTGCATGTGTCCAGTCTATGTGCTTGGACAGGAATAGAAGGATCTAGAACAACTTAGGAGACATATTGTCTAACAAATGTTAGATTTATAGCTAGTTGCAGTGACGTCGGCCTTGGCAGCCAATGATATTGTAACACATATGGTTGTACTGTAAAATGTCCTATTAAAAAAGGGGCCTGAGAGCCTCAGTAGTTTTTTTAACTTGCTTATGCTTGTTACCAGCTACAGCTGTTTAAACCTGCTAAATGAAGCTCCTGCCTGGTCTGGTCCTTTGTTATTCCACTTCACTTTTCTCCAGCAGTTTTGGTCCAGTTCTTTTTCCTTGTTAATGAGCAGGCTCTGAATACTGCAACAGTCTCCTATAGATTAAGGGTGACCTGATGATGCCTGTGGCTTACAGGACGAGGGTTGAATGACATTTGTCATATATCAACTATCATTCAACCTGGAAGAGCAACACAATCTAGTGGCAGGGAAACTTGCTACAGGGGACAGTGCCAGAGATAGGGCAGGGTATGTAGGGGTATGTACCGCAGCGAGAGATGCATTTTTGTTTCAACTTTTTATGGGCACCGATTTTTTTATGCAGGAGTTAGCTTTTATGTTTATCCATAAGATTTGTCTCCACAGTCTACTGCATTGTCTACTATTCTGTGGTGTATGCATGGAAATGTGCATGGTTTAATTTAGTAGCGCTTTTTTTTTTTTTTTACTACAGTCTAAAAGATACATTCTAATTGGTACAGTGAATCATTACCCTTTGCTTTATTGAATAAGCCTATACTGTAAAAGTTAAAGTGAAAAAAATATGGAAAACTAAAACTAGATCTCCCTCTGACCGGCAGTGCCGAGGGAGCATGGAGCCGGTTTCTTTTCCAAATCAGGAAGCCGGCAGTGGGTTATGATCTGCCTCACAACTTTCTGATTGGCTAGGAAGCTGGCTTCACTTGTTGCTAGGCAGCCTGACATCCTAACCAATCAGAAATCCAGATAGCACGTAATGACCTGCCTCCCAGCTTCATGACTGGTCAGGAAGCCAGGCTGCCTAGGAACAATTGAAGCTGGCTTCCTAGGCAATCAGGAAGCCGGGAGGCAGGTCATGATGAGCCGCCCGGCTTCCTGACTGACTGGGAAGCCAGCTTCACTTGTTGGTAGGCAGCCTGGCTTCCTGACCAATCAGGAAGCTCAACAGCCCCTCGTGAACTGCCGCCCAACTTCCTGATTGGTCAGGAAGCCAGGCAGCTTTGGCAAGTAAAGCCGGTGTTGTTTTGACAGAACACTGGCTTCTTAGGGCGACAGGTCATGATCCTCCACCCAACTTCCTGATAATGGGGCACACGGCACCGGTACTCGGTATAGGCGAGTACTGGAGAAGAAAAATATTAGTACTCGTACATAAACATAACAAATAGAAATATACAAAAAATATACTTACTGTTACTTCTGGACCTGTATATTGTGGCGAGTCTGGTACAGTTGCTGGTGGTCCCTCAAGGGTGCCCATAAGTGCATCTAAAGCTTCATCTGATATAGCCTGGAGAGAAAAAAAATTAAAATAGTACATCTCTCTATGTTTTTATGACATGAAGTGCAGTGACAATGTCAAACAATAACACTCTTTTGCTGCTTTCATCCATGCATGACTAAATAATGAATGGCCTTTTCACAGAAATTTCATGGGATGACATTAGCAATGTCATGATACTGTGCACAGCAAGTCAAAGAAACAAAGTTTGCAATAAAAGGTATTCTAACAACACCCTAAGCCCAATGATAGTCCACACTGGACGCTCAGATAATGTGAATTATGTTGACAAAAAACTAGAGCCAGTGCAGCAGATCCTCCAACAAAACTTGCTCTACGAGCTACATAAACACTCTACTACTGGAGGTTCTGATTAAAATCAGCTAGGCCAAGTCAATAAACTCATAAGAGGGTTGTGCTCTAAAGTCAGAGAACATCAGAATGGTTCCAGAGAGAAGGTTCAGGAGAGAAGCACTTTGTGGAGGGTCTGGCACAGTAATATATGACATTTGTGGGTTGTATGCTGGCACAGCTATGGTGACGTCTGGTACAAGTCAGCATTATATAAATTCTAAGATAAACGTTGTTGGTGTATTTAAAATACAGTTCAACCCATTTTTTTTCTAATAACATGTGTTATTCTGTTTTGGTATTTGGACATAAGCACTGGGAGATTACATTATTCAACCCACTTTCAAGGAGCCCAGGTTGTCATTGACCTGTCCCAGCCAGTGACTGTTCAGCGAAAGGAGAATCATCACAGAGATGAGTTCATTCCTCAGTCACTCTGCTTTTACCGTCTTTTAGTATGCTTCTTGCCAGCACATCAACTGATTGGCTTATTTTGCTGTGACTTCTGCCTACTCTCTGACCCTGCTGTACACAGGCTTCAAGAGGCTGATACCAGGTCAAATTCAGGTACTTGCTATATAATGAGCAAATTTTAACGGGTTCTTGAGGAACTGGCTGAAATTTGCCCGGTGGGTGGCCCTGTTTGCTATCTCCCACCCGACATCCTTTGATTAATAAATGGTTGGCCGAACAGAGCCTGCATCCAATCAGATATAGGCAATGTTCAGGTGTTTTGACAGCCAGCGGGGCCCACTGTCAAAATACAAAATCGCCAAAGCTTTAGCTTTCCTCCATCAAAGCTAAACAGCCCAAAAGCTGAATTAAAAACAAAATCTAACACTGTATATCCAGTTTTTACACTGCTTGCATTTTAAAAATCGCATGTAATAATGTACTAATGATCACAGAGCTGCATTCATTTCTGCCTTTTATATCTGCCCAGAGTCTGGCTTTAAGAAATATGTTCACTCCTTTTTGCATCATAACTGCCTGTTGAGGCACTACATTTGCAGATTCAAGCTGTTTTGATTGTCATACATTTCCTCCCTCTGTTTCCTCCTCAGCTGTCTTAGCATGCAGTGTGACTCACGCAGGGTGTGGTTTTATATTGAGGAATTCATTGTGAGATGTTCTGTGCTTGAGACACTATTACCAAATGCTGACCTTGGGCAGATAGGAGAACAATGTTTTATTTAATATCATACAAAGAGCTGTAATGCGCAGAAACCAAAAACAACCAGAGAGGAGTTTTTACTCACCTGACTACACTAAACCGCATAAAGACTAATGGGTGCATTGCAGCTTCTAAGAGTGTTAACCTTACACACAAAAATACAAAAACTAAATCAATGATGTCACGTGATATATTGTAGATATACCGTGTTTAGAATGTATCATATTAGCACCCATGTGACAGTTGCATGACATGGCTGGGTTCACCTGGACTGAGTGACATTATAATATGTATACTTTATATTAGCAGCAGGGGAAAAAAAATAAAAAAAGAAGATGGCTGACTGCTATCAAACAACCTCCTAGCAACACCAGGCTGCATCTGCCATCTCAATAGCCCTCAAGTTCAGCAGAGAGTGCATGTTTATAGAAGGGTTGGCAACCTATGTCTAAGCACCAAATTGTGAGTGGCTGAAATTACCTGTTTTGGCTCAGTTGTTTTTTAACCCGGCTTTGATATTCCTATTTTATCTGTTTACAATTTATAGGTGCACAGAGACACCAGTTAGACTCCGTTCACACAGTGTTTTATAGTGCTTTTTCTGCCCTAAGATATGCCCAAAACAAAATCCCATTCATTTCTATGGCCATGTTAACATCGGAGCGTTTTGTTACTTATAGCAAAACATCTGTCGCTGGAAAAAAAAAGTACATGAGCTTCTTTTTGGCAGATTAAGCCACTTCTGGCCCGTAGACTTCAATGGAAACGTTCAAAAATGCACGTTTGCTGTTTTTTGGCGCATGTTTTAAAAGGTGTCACAATCTGCTTGCAAACACACGTGACTTAATGTATGCGCATAAAACGCACACAAGAATGTGCAGCAGAAATGCGCGTAGAAACACGCGAAAATGCAGTTGCCTAGATGTGAATATAGCCTGAACGATGCTGGAAAAATATCTTTGTGTGTAAGCTATTTGCTATGTTATACCTCTTGCACAAAAGGATTATTGGTGAAAATGAGCGGAGATCGTATAGCCCCAAGTCCTGCAATGTAGCAGCAGCACTGACATTCTAATGAGAGCAATACACTGCCTAATGGTCACTGTTTTTGCACAAATGAGTCACGTGTTCTAATTGAACTTTTTTTTGGGCTAGTAATAGTGACTGGAGAGCTTTTTCGGTATGCTGAAAATATGTGCTTTCTTTAGCATGAAAAGTGAATGATCATTTTACAATACACCAGAAGCATGCTGAGCATTAGGACACAAGATGTCAATGGTATAGGCCCACTATGGCAGTGTTGAAGGCTAACACCAAGAAACTATTTCAATTTTGACTGTTTGTTTGGTAAGTTAGAGTGGATGCTGGCTTTCTTTTACGCTCAGGGAACTTAGTGACACTATATGTCCCCTAGAATTCTCTGTTCTCACAAACACCACCAATACTAAGCCAACTGATGCACCTTGTAATAGAAAAAATGTTTTGGGAATCCAATTGTAATTTTTAAAAGAAAACGTCATTACAGGCTGCGGACTAGAGTCCAAAGCACAAACAACTACGTAGAAGTCTATAGGAGACAGAAGAAGGTGCCAGGTGGTTTAACCCATGTGTCCATTCCGAATTGATCTGTTTTGTAAAGTTTACCTAAGACAATGTTAGGAGCATGACTAATGCTCCTATGCCTGTTGCAACCAAACAGCTTGTTGTGATGGTATGTTGCTTTCTGCTTATGTCATGTATCTTGCCTCCAGTCAGTGCTACTGCTTCACACATTCATAGTCAGAATACATAGTTTAAGACCTGGGGGCACCAAGTACTGGTAGGTGCACTTGCCTTATGGGAAAGGCGGCTGCTATAGGCGAAAACATTCACCCCTATATACTCTGTTAGAATGTCTGCATCTGGTCCTGACAGATGATTACTAAACCAAGGAACCAGTTCTTCTACAGAGAGAATCTACAGGAATAAACTCAGAGCGTCATATATAACGCAAGTCACACTCTACTACAGTTGTCTACCAACCTGCATCTAGCTGCCTCCATGATACATGAACAATTGACTGGCCAGTCACAAAACCAGTGGCGACTCTAGGAACAATATATAGGGGGGGCACATAAGATACCACAGTCAATTATGGGGGGGCACTAATAATTTTCATTGCATGTCGCAACCGCAGGGCGCCGAGAGCTGATTTAATTGCGGATGGCATCTGCGCCCTGCGGTTCCGACATGTAGTCCTATGCCGCCCACAATCCTGAATACCAAAACCGTTTCTTTTTTTAAAACTTTTTTTGTATTTTTTTTACATTTTTACTCTTTACTTATTTTATTTGTTTCACTTTTTTTTTACATTTTTATTTATTTCACTTTATTTTTTTTTACATATTTTTGACTTCTTATTAATTTAACTTAATTTTTTTAACTTTTTTTAATCTTGGTTCATTTTATTTTTTTAAACTTTTCTTTTTTTTTTACTTCATTGCTGGGAGCAATAACCAGCCTGCTATTGGATATTTCAAATTGCAATAGCCAATAACAGGCTGGCTAATGCACCCACCCACTGCCTGCTGTCAATCAGCAGAGGAGGGACCTGAAGTTTTCTATCAGGTCCACCTCTGACAGTGGGCGGGTGCAATAGCCAGCCTGTTATCGGCTACTGCAATTTAAAAGAGCCAATAGCAGGATGGCTATTGCGGTCAGCTGCTGGAATGAAGACGATCGCAGACGCCGCGGAGAGGTGAGTAGACTGCTTAAAGTGACATTAAACCCTCAGATTTGTTAACATAAAACAATACTGTAATGTGCGCCTTACTGTAATCCATGGTAGTTTCCCTTCTCTTTGCTGCTCTTCCTTTTAAATCTGTATCTTTTCTCATGCTTGGAGAGAACTTCCCTTTTCAGCTCAGGCCCTCTTCCTGTGCTGCTGGCTCAGGTTACAAGCCATACAAACGTATTGGCAGACACCGTGAAAGACAAGGCAGTCTGCTGAAAAGGGAAGTTCTCTTCAAGCATGAGAACAGATACAGATTTAAAAGGAAGAGCAGCAAAGAGAAAGGAAACAACCATGGATTACTGTAAGGCACACATTACAGTATTGTTTTATGTAAAAAAATCTGAGGGTTTAATGTCACTTTAAGCTGCTTATGCCTTGTATACTAGCGCCGGCACTTGAGCCACTCCACAGCTGCTTAATTTAGCGGGGGGGCACACCGGGGGGCAAAGCATAACACAGGGGGGGCAATTGCCCCCCCCTTTCCCCCCTGTAGCGACGCCACTGCACAAAACACAAGCTACTGTATGTATGTATGCATGCATGCATTTAACTAGAAAAAACAAAACACATGAAGTAGTAAACCGTTTCCTTACAGCAGACTGGGACTGTGAAAGTGCGGTAGGAGCTGTTGAGGCCTTCTGTGCTTCTTTTTTCTGCAATAATAAATAATTTATTGTTAATGATGTATGTAGGGCACTACAATGTGACACACACTACCAAAAATACCCATTGCTTTATATTCCCTCCTTTTACCGGATTTGCCAGAAATGGGGAAACATGCTTTATTAAAAATAAATAAAATCAGGAAGCCGGACGGCAAGTCATTACATTGTACAATGGGACTGCCGGTTTTGGTATTCGGTATCGGCGCGTACCAAAAATAATAAAATATTGGTACTAGATATCGAAAGGCCGGCATCGGTGCATCCCTAATAACAATATATAACCTGTAATGGTGTATTACAGTTTTCTGTAATTTCTCTTCTTTACAAGGTCTTGTACTCTCAGATATTGTTCAATCTTAGTTTCAAAATCTTAACTTGTAAATGTAAAGTGAAGGTCAAGATTTAGAGAGCATACTGATCATATTGCTGGAGCAACCCTAATGTATGGATTTGTTTGTTTTAAAAGGAACCTGGGCTGAGAGAAATACGTGGACTGTCACTCGTTCCAAAGTTTGATGCAATGTATAACAAAAATGTCAGGAATTGCACGTTACACCACCACGCAAAAGGAACAGCATTGCTACCTCTAATTTTGGCTTCTTCTCTTCAGGTGGAGCTGGACTGCTGACAAACTCAGATGACATTGCTGCAATGAGATCTTCATCACCCAAGCTCTATGAAACCAAAAAGAGAAAATGCATAAAGCACACAAATAAATCACATGTGCAGACTAATATAGTTTGACAGTTTCTTACTTGCAATGCACTGGCAGGATGGCCAGGATGATAGCAGTGCAGTATACAAAAGGAAGGAAATAATGGAGCCATAGATACAGTGACTAGTTAGATTAAACTGTGACATTTTCCAGAGAACAGTACAAAAGAGAAGCAGATATTTAATAAGTTTGGGCAATGTTTTCAATTTAACAATTTTTTAAACACTACCCCAAGCTATCACCCCATCTTCTCAACAGTGTTTATTCTACAGTAACCCAGACTTCCTTTTATCAACAATACATTTAGTCTCCTGAGGGTATCCTATATATGACTGTGTCACAGCAGGTATTCTATCTCCCATCTCTTGCTATAGGTCTGCCAGTGGCTCTCTCCACAGTCAAGACATGCCCAAAACCCCTCCAGTGGGAGACTCCCAGAGGACATCGGTGTATAGTTACATCACTTCAGGCTAGGTGCATAACTAGGCGATTGAGCTGGAGAGCCGTATTCGTGTGTTTTCGTTTGCGCGATTTTGCTTTGAAAATGTAAAAAAAAAAAAAAAAAAATCACAATTCTATGGGACCCAAACAGCGCGACAACCGCCCGAAAATAGCTCCTGCACCTTTTTGCGCGACAGGCAATTTCTACCGCGTGACAAATCGCAAAGGCGTGAACAGCTTCCATAGACTTGAATACAAATCTCTCTGCACGATAAATTGCTTAGGTGTGAACCTAGCCTTATAGTCAAGCAACTGAGTTTCTGCAAAGCCAACAAAGCCCCAATGTGTTTAGGGTGGGAGAACACAAAGGCAACACAAATTTAAATATGTCTGGCTCTGATGGGATATTAAAATAAAGTGATTGTCATTGGTTTAGGATGAAAGGTTTTAATGCTTGGATTACATTTAAGATGGTCCTTGGAAGGCCTAAAAGGATTTTGCATCCAGCCATTTATCTTTAGAACAGCATAGTATAAAATGAGAGCAGGCAGCTGTAATAAGCTGTATAAATGACTATTTTGTATTTATCATTACACCACTGGATGGGGCTGGAGTACAAATTATGTATGCTTTGTTAAAGCAACGATAATGGTTCTTTTAATCTACAGTTATGCAACCACTTTCTGAGGTTACATTTACACGATGACTAACACGGTGCATGTGCCTTTGCCAACTTTATAGAATAAATATGGCACCAACAATTGCTGCAGCAATGTTCACACTTGCTAATGGGCTCTTTGTTTAGATTACACAATATACAGTACGATGTGGCTGGACAATGACTATAATCCATAATCCATAATCCACGATAGATATAATATGCTGTAGGGAGATTCATCCCCCTGGAATACAACCTAGCTATATATTTTAAGACTGCAAAATCGGAGGCACTTTAATTTTTGTGATTTTGTTGTTGTTTTTTTTACAATTTAATGCTTTATTTATATTATTTTTATAACATTTTATATTCATAGATACACATTTAATAATGTTTGCATAGCCCAGTGATAGCTCTCCAGGAGGCAGAATATTTTAAGTGTATCTAACGCAAAGCCTTTTTTTGATTCTAGATAGAGCAGTAGATTTTTTTGTCTTTGCTGTCTTTGTCTCATTGGGAGGATTTCCCTTCCTGTCTTGGAGAACAACAAAATATGATTAGAAATCTTCTCAGGACAGTTGTCACTTGAACAGATGTTCCCACTGAAAAATTCCCCTCTATTCCTGTTTTTGTGACAACTGTAATATTCTGGATTTCTCAGCAATTTCTGTCCTTGTAACAATGGTCACCAGGAAAAATACAGGGGACGAATCAACCCCAGCGGGTACACAAACAGCATTAACAGACCATAGGGGTTTTAAAACTTCCCCGCCATATAAAAAAAAAAAAAGGAGTATTGGCTAGTCGGAGCATAGTTGTGTCATAGTTGTGTAATTTTTGAGTGCTTAGGTGGCTCGGGTGGCTGCAAATTGCAGATAGGACATTTACATTTCATATACAGTATATTTGACTAATCCAAACAAATTATATGCAAAAACACTTTACATTCCTTTAAACAACCACTAGATGTGCACACACAAAAAAATGTAATCAGAATTTAAGTCACCTCTTCAGCTGCCTTTGGTGGTGGTTCTGTGGGCTTTTCTCCTTTACCCTACAAGAAAGGTACAATATTGCTTGTGATCACAGCAGCTTACATAATAGAATAGTTAATATGTTATCAAAAATCATTCTTACATCCAATAGAAGCCTGTATTCTGGTGGGATTGTGGATTCTCTCTTTCCCAGTTCTTCTAAATATTCTGATGTGACAGTTTTGTCCTTATATATAAAGAAAAAATGAAAATCCAGTGAACTGACATGCTTAACAGAGTTTTCAGCATCAGAGTGACATAATTCTGGTTTAAGACCTGCAATCAGCTAATTATGAAATGGTTACGCTACTCATATAGTCTGCTTTTTAGAACCATTAGTTTAATGAGCAGTGTGGATAGATGCAGAGAGTAGAGATGGCATTCACATGCATTAGAAGAAGTCAGTGATCCCTAAGTTCATAAGTAATAATGACAGATGAAGATGAGCTTACTGCCAAGATTACTGCTCTGGTCTTCTCTGTAACTTACATTTTTACCAAAGTGTTGCTCAAAATATATGCCAAGTATGCAGAAGTTCTATCATCATCCATTTTCTCTTATTGTTTGCATTTAAAGTTAAACACATCAGTTGTATTAATAGTTTTGAATCATAAATGTACTTACAGTGATCTCTGGTCCAGTAAATTTTGGAGACTCTGGAACACTTTCTGGTCCCCCCAAAGTATCACTTAACAAATCTAAAGCATCATCCGTATCCTTTTCGCTCTACAATTCAGAGGTACAGACATGGTAGTTAGCAATGCAGAGCAGAGCGTAAAGTCAAGAGTAATATATAAAACACCCAGACAATTGGGAGAAGTGTGCAACTACTTGTATGTACAAAATATAATAAGGAGGACTGCTATATAATAATTTTCTTTCATTTTAAATAAATCATTGCATTATTATTTTTCTTCCTTGAAGATTACTTTCCGATATACAGATTATATACAGATTATAAGTATATTACTCATTATTACTTGTTGTGCATAGATGAAACTTTACTCCATATACTCCTAATTCTGTGATAAAAATTGTACTTACAGTCTTAAAATTATTCTAATAGATTAAACACCATGTAACCCTGGTACAAATCTGAGCATAGGCCTCCTTATTCACATAAAAACCTTGGGAGCCTGTTGTCTAAATTTCAGTACAAAAAAAGTATACTAGGCCAACTACAAAAAGCAGAGAAGAGAACAACAACTGGATTTAATGGAACAGAGGTAGTATTTTGTACGGCTAAAGCAGCTTGTCATGCACTGGTACATACAGTCAAAGCACTGCATTTAGGAAAGTCTGCTTAGATGTATAGTGATATTTATAGTTTAGTTTTGAAAGATATTGAGCAGTTGTTTGCCACCAACCACTAGATGGGGGAATCTAGCTGACTAAGAACTAGCTGCACTCTAATTTCTGCACAGAAGCAGAATGTCACTGAATACCATTCAACATCACAAGATCTGGCCTCACCTTGCTTGGCGCAGAAGCAGCAGCATTTTTTTCTACAACTTTCTTTTCTGTCTTAACCTGTGTTACAAAAGGAGAAAATGGTTATGTCAGGAAAATATCACTGAGAATAAAAGTGGATCAGCACTTACAGGATGCAGGGTTACTGTAGGAAATGTTCATCTTAAATGAGTTTTCCATTATTCATTGTCAATAATAAATTTTCTTTTAAATAATTATAAATACTAATTGATGATGATAATCATCACCAAATGCATAATAGTTATGCGACACATTTTTTTTCATCCCATCGCAACTAGTACAATGCACACAACATGGATGTAATGCAAACATAAATCTCATTTTTTAGAACTTAAAAGAATTGTAATACAAAGATCACATGATAAGTGGGTATTAAAAAGGCACCGTATTACTTATTTTATTCCTGGCTTCTGTTTATACTTTCAGTGCTGCAAACTGCCAGCTGATATAGGAGGATCCAATATAATGCAGTTTGTTGCCTTATATCCTTTGTGTTATTTAAACACCATGAACCAAACACTGCACAGTTCACACAGCTGTTCTTGTAAATGTTCATTTTTTGCCCTAATGTGCAAGTTTGCACAGCTCCCTTGCATATTAGGACACACTCACCTTTCAAGTTTTAACTTCTCCAGCACTGTTGGATTGATATTTGGTCACCAGCCCTGTCCCTTCCCCTCTATCCCTGCCACCAACACTTCCAGGTTCACCCGGAAGTTACATCAGGAACTACATCCTCCCCAACACCCGTCTCATTCACAGTATTTTAGAGAATGGACCGAGTTTGGCCCAAGATATTTTGCATGTCTCTTCTCTCAAAAATCCCTTCATTCCAGCAATTTTTTATTTTACTGACTTTACTTCCGTTTTAAACTGTATGCATAGCAAAAAACATTTGTTTTGGATAGACTAGGGAACAAGAACACCTCTTGTCAAGTTTTTATTGCTGCTTTGTTTTCCCGCTAGGTAGATTCACGCTCTCTATTCCCAATCTATAACCAAAAACAGAAAGTGTCACCGAAACATGAAGTGAGGGTTAATCTTGAAACGAGGACATCTGTTGACAACTGCCAAGAGGGGTATTCTCATCACTTTGATCTTCACTCACTATCTGTTGCACCTTTGGGACAGGAAGTGAAGGGAAGTCTCCCCAAAGGAACAGCAACAAAAAAAAAATGACAAGAGGTTTCAGCTCTTCCCTATTCCATCCAAAACAAAAATGTTATATGCTTTAATCTTCCTTGAAGAAAAAAGCGCACAACTAAAAGAAAAGAATATACATTTCCATAGGGTATACAGTACACATTTCTCTGTCATCTAGAGGTGAAGACCCTTTCTATTCTTTCAAACAGTATGCAAGTATTTCTAAAGACTGGATGTAAAGGACATTGGATACGTTTAAGGTTAAAATTTTAGTCTCCAGTTTTCACATTTCAGTTTTGGGTAAATATTGGTGGGTATATGAAATAAATGAAAAACCCATTACAGATTAAAACCCTTACTGCCCATCAGAAAAGACCTGGAAATGTGGGTGTCACTAGTCACCAGAGAGATACTATAAATATATGTACAGATAGACATTAGGCACTTTCTGAGTAGAGATACAGGGAGCCAGTACAAAGATCAACACACATGGGAGGTGGACTAAACATTCCAGAGAGGAGACTGATACAGCAGCTAAGCCAAGATATGCTGAATGCATAAACTAAGGCCTTGTTGGCACTACCTATTATAAAGGAGTGTGTCAGAGAGATATTCTATAACTGAAAGCAACTAAACCAAAATTCATGAGGTCACTTAATTCGAACTGCTCACACCTGGCAATAAATGGCTTACTAGAGAAGAAACAAAATTAATGAGGGAACATTTTTCCTTTGATTAAAATTCAACTAAGCACATAGGAACGATAGCGATTTTCTCCCAAAATGTTATTCTTTTGAAAACAAACACTAATTAAAAATAAAACTACAACTGCAAGGGTCAACTACTTGTTTTTGTCTAGGGGACCTTTGTATAAGACTTTTACTCATCCGATTCCCTCTCCCACCCACTGTAAGGGTCCATTTACACCCTCTGCGTTGGAGCTGCGCTGGCCGGTGTTTCCAGAACAGCTCGAACCAAAGCAAGGCAATTTGCCTTTTCACAGATGGTGTTCCTTCCCACCACCACGTTGTGATAGGATCAAGGTGGTGTGTACTGAAAAAAAGTAAGGCATGCGTTACTTTTTTCCAACGCAGTGGGATGCGATGCAACCACTTTGAACTGAATGAAATGTCATTTGTGACAACTCAATAAAATTCTAACACAAAAAAAAAAAGAAGTACACAGTGCGATGTGCTGGGATCAGCTCTACAGCACTGTGCCGGGGCACTTCACACCAGACACTGAGCGATTAGCGGAGCATCCGACGTGAATGGGCCGTTAGAGCTACACCCACAGCCTTACTCTGCTCTGGGGGTCGTAGGTCAACTGACATCATCCCATTTAATGCAGGGCCCATTGCCCCTCATTATATGCGAGGATGCCGAGGGACAGCCCACATGTGAGGGTTGACCATCAGGGGAGTGGGGAATCAGGTAAGTAAAAGTCCTGTACAAAGTTTTTCTAGGCAGTTGGCTCATGCGGGTAGCCACATTGCAAGGGTAGGCTTTAAAGTTTATACTAAATGGTGGATGCTTAGTATTTGCTAGCACCAGAGCACATCTGTATGTTATTACTGGAAAATAATGTATTGATCCACGATAGATTTTATTGCCATTTTCTTATTTTTGCATGAATAATTTCTGTACATTACCTCTTCCTTTGGTTTGCCAGATGAGGCTGCTGTAGCAGCACCAACTACTATGGCACCCACTGCAGCAGCCCCTACTGTAGCAGCAGCTGCTTTTCCACCAACTGATGATGAGACCTAAGGAAAAGCAAAGAATATTAATAAACAAATAGACATTTGTAATTTTTCTACAGAACACTAGAAAAAAAAGGAAAATTGGCTACTATAGAAAATTTAGACAGTTTTGAAGCAAAACCCTTTCATAGCTGTGGGAGGAGCTGGAGTTGGGTGTACTGCAGTAATGCATTATTGCAATGTATTATAGTTATGTATTATATTTATTGCACTATATTTACTGTAGTGCAACTGATTCATTTCATAGGTTAAGTTCCGCTTTATGCCAACACTCTGCATATCTCCCCCTCCTCCTCACTAAACTTGTAGTTGTAACTACATACCCCTAATTTTGACCAATTTGAAGAACACTCTCTGGGCAACATGGGGACAGTGCAGTGGTTCTCACCTCTGGCTCTCCCTGGGGCCATTGAAATTGGTGTTGTTGGGTCCTAGCCATAGAGAAATTGTTACTTCTATCCTTACTTTAGTACATGCAACATGCAAAGCCCCAAGTCCGGAACAGGTCCATGTACAGCACTTCAAAAAGTCTTCAGGAAGTGGAGAAAGTGGAGAGGAAAAGCACTGCACCAGTCCTGGGTAGGCTGTCATTGTAACAATTACTATGTGTACATTCTATAGGGCTCCGTTTACAAACTAGATGCAGACGTTTTTGGGGATGGCAGATTTTAGGGTTGCTATACATGTGTACAGTGGCGTAACAATCACCATAACAACCCAGGCGGCCGCTATGGGGCCCGGACATCTCCCTGATGCCATGCGGGCCGCCTGGGTCGCTATGGCATCTTGCTCGGACAGCCAGTCACTGGCGGCTGTGAGGAGGCCGCTGCTGAGTTGGTGACAACCAGCAGCTTCGCAAGAGGTGGCTGGGCCCGTCATCGGTGGCGATCGAGGGGGCGGGCCCGGCGATCAAGGGGGTGGGGCCCGGCGATCAAGGAGGAGTCGATCGTGGAGGAGAAGGAGGCGGACAGAGGATCAGGGCTGACAGGTAAGAGGGCTTGACAGCCCACCTGAGGGCTTTTTTTTATGCTATTCCCATCATAAGAGACCTGTTAAGGTGGTTGGTTGAATAACGGAGTTATGACTTACTGCACTGTCCTTTGGCTTCCCATGATCTGCTTTCTTTGCATCCTGCTTGGTTGGGACCCTTCCTGTACTGGGCTTTGTTGTTGTTGATGATGTTGTTGTTGTAGTTGTAGTCGTTGCTGTTGTTGTTGTGGTCTTTGGCTAATAAGAAACACAATATTACTAAATGCACATGTAACAACAGCTAAACATGTACACAATAAAAAGCAGATTACAACAAACAAGAAACTGTCCTATAAAATATATGTGGCTACCAGTGATGTTCATAAATTAGATGCTGAAACGTGTACCCCTAGGTTGTCTGGAGTGCACCTGAACTGTGGAAGGAAGTGATGCCCAAGAAAAGGCAGCAGAGGGCAAAAGACTGATCACCAGTATTGCCTGTAGACTATCTTCAGTTTATTTTGCTTTGCAGTGCCTTAGCACTCCCACATGCCAGGTAGTGCCCATCTGTTCGCCAGGAGCAATTCAAGAAAATAAGCATACTGAAACATTTCTAAATGTTTCCTATAATGTACCAAATGTTTACTTGTCGCAGCAGCACAGTAAGTTCTGCCAACCCAGAAAGCAGGGGGCAGGACTATTTGGGGCCAGGTGCTGATTAACAAGTTACAGGCTTGTGAATCGGCATTAACAATGCAGTTAGCTACGCCCCGTACAACATCTTCTTATCTCATTGAAGTACAGTCACAGCCTACATGAGAGGCCTGGTATCCCGAAATTGTGCACAAATGCAAACCGCACTTGCGGTGCCATTCGTTTCTAATGGCACCCCAATTGTGGTTAGCATTCCGCAGTGTTGTGTGCCGTGGTTGTCACGATGCAATTGCGCACTATCGCGGCCGCAATAAAAACAAAGGCAATTTCATCCCACAGAAAGGTGCGTGGACTTTTTTGCTGCGGTTGCTGCGTGGATATGACCCCGTTGAAATCAATGGGGCAGCGCGGCAATGCAATCGCCTGTGAACATGCATTCCCAGGCCACAAAGACGTAAACTGGCCCAGAGGGGCAACTCAGCCCTGAATTCAGCAGCAGCACAGCATTGTTT